TCTGGCCGGGCGTGGTGGCTTACATCTGTAATCCTAGAACTCTGGGAAGCCGAGGTGAGCGGATCATTTGAGCTCATGAGTTTGAGACTGAGCAAGAGTGAGACCCATCTCTACTAAAAAAAAAAAATAGAAAGAAACTACCTGGACAACTAAAAATATATAGAAAAAAATTAGCTGGGCATGGTAGCGCATGCCTGTAGTCCCAGCTATTTGGGAGGCTGAGGCAGGAGGATCGCTTGAGCCCAGGAGTTGGAGGTTGCTATGAGCGAGGCTGACGCCACGGCACTCTAGCCCAGGCAACACAGTGAGACTGTCTCAAAAAAAAAAAAAAAAATTTCTTGGTCTGAAGCTAAGAAGTTAGGTCAGAGAGAGTTTCACATAACAGAGAGCAGTAAAGTCAATCAACGAAAATGGATAAGACTGCAGAGAAAGAGGAAGAAAAAGAATAAACATTCAAAAAAGTACTGTGTAAAGAATAGTGGTCAAAATGCTGCAAATACAGCAGGATAAGTAAAAAGAAGGTCTCATTTGTGACTTACGAAAGAAAAATTTAAGCAGAGTAGGATATAGAAGCCAAACTACAGAGCATTAAGGAAAGGTAAACAAAGTAGATGACATTTTCCAGAAATTCACCAGAAAGGGGAACAGGGAACAGTTACTTTAAGGGTTACAGGATAATAGAAGATTCCGTTAGAGTAAGATGCCACCATGGTTTTAGGCAGAAAAAGTGATGTAGTGGAGGGAAGTAGAGAAAGAAGAACCCAGAGGTAAAGGGAAAAGACCAATTAACAAAACAAGGTCACCCAGCAAGGAGGAGGGAGTCAGTCAGAGAGCAGAACCTGAAAGGTCTACACCTTTGAGGATCAATTTTCTTCTGAGAGGAAAAAAGGCAGTAGAGAACTGCTGGGATGACGGGTAGAGAAGAGCAGGGAACCTGTGAGGAATCATTGTTTTCCCAGGCACCAACACTATAAGCCTTAGACATCTACACTCATGTCTCTCCTTCATTCCTCAAATCCAGGCTCCAATGTTTCCTCCAGTGGGGTCGCCAATTCTAATTTTCTCCCTTTGAAATAGTCTTTTAAATTTATCCCCTTTCTTTCTAGTACTGATTACGCTCAAGTCCCAGTCTTAATTACTATTGCAACAGACTCCTACATCCTAACCTTGCCTTAATCTCACCCAGCCAGTCCTCCAAACATAGATTTCATCATTATCACTTCTCAGCTAAAATCCCTCAATGGCTCCCAGTTCCTATCACATCAATACCAAATGGTTCAGTCTAGGTTTCTAGGCCCTATTATTTGACTACATTCATCCTACCCAAGCAACCCCCAACAATTATCCTCTGAAAATATTATGTTCATATAATTCTCCACATCCAAAGTATCCTTCTAAACCTAACAAACCCAATCCAGCCAAGGCCAATTCAAGTCCCACTTCTTTATTGAAGCCTCAACTGCTCTAGGTTTCATTCATCTCTCCACTCGATTCCTTAAACATCCATGGTATCATATATATGTCGACCCATCCCAAAGCTGGCTACATTCTAAAAACTTTGAGGATCACGAATTCATGAATATAACTATAGTATAAATTCTTCATAAAAATATCTAAGTGAGGAAGAACAGAAAACAAACAACTGCTCTAAATCATCCTAGTAGTGAGAAATCCAAGAGTTACCTCAGACACAGGCAAAGGTATCAGAGACCTTTCAGAAGTCAGTAAAGCAAGCCAAGGGTATTCAGTTAATTGTATGACTTCAAGTTTGAGCCCAGTGATCTCAAGTGTCATGAAAGCTAACCTATTTCTTCTATGTCATCTCTTTTCACTACAAGGCTAAGAAGACCCAATGAGACAATACAGACCAAAGCACTTAATAAACTCTAAGTTATTGCTTATTTAAACATGGGGTTCTGGGGACAAACCTTCCTTTAAGATTTTATCAAACACCTATGTACAAAGCACAAAGGCCTTGTATACCGGGAGGAATCAGAAGGTATCAACTCAGTTAAATATGAAAGTACCAGGTCAGGATTATAAACCATAATGACAATCATTTCCCATCACTGTTCACAGAAAAAAATAAATGAAGAGCACATGAGGGTAAACTGAAGAGGCTGCTCATTTATGACAGGAGTCAAACACTCTGCTTAGAGCTAGATAAACAAAACAACAGAAAATGTGATCTTGATTTATGCATCTTTCTCTAATTCTATACAGGGGGCTACAACCCTAATAATTACTCTTACCCACTGTCAAGAGATTCTTATTCTATCATAACATCACAGAGAGAATGAGAGACACACAGAATTTGTGCTAAGGATTTTCTAAAATTTCCAGCCTTCAGCATAGCATCTATATACCTACTCCATAGATGAACTTAAAATCGACTGTGAATACTATATGGCTACACAGAAGGATTATTTTTATTTTTTTTGAGACAGAGTCTCACTCTGTTGCCTGGGCTAGAGTGCCATGGCGTCAGCCTAGCTCAGAGCAACCTCAAACTCCTGGGCTCAAGCAATCCTTCTGCCTCAGCCTCCCGAGTAGCTGGGACTACTGGCATGCACCACCATGCCCGGCTAATTTTTTCTATACATATTTTTAGTTGTCCAGCTAATTTCTATTTTTTTTTTTTTTTTTTTTTTAGTAGAGATGGGGTCTCGCTCTTGCTCAGGCTGGTCTCGAACTCCTGACCTTAAGCGATCCACCTGCCACCCACAGTGCTAGGATTACAGGCGTGAGCCACCGTGCCCAGTCCAAGAATTATTTTTAATTACACCTTTCCCAAGCTATGTTGTTAAGCTAAATTTACATTGAGATTGACCTCTCTTTTTAAATCCTCAGTTAAAAAATATCAAAGGCAAAAATAAAAACCAGATTTCGACCACTACCTGGAACCAAAGTCCTGAAAGAATAAACTAGATACTGCTTCTTCAAACCCATTAAGTCTTTGGGCAATTTAGATTTTCTCCCTCAAAAAGTCTTCTACATTTATACAATTTTGCTAACTCCCATTTTAGAAGAATAAGATACTGTCTGAAGGCTCCAATATTTTCAATTGTTCTTAATAGAACCAATACTCCACAACATCTGTTTGATAAGAACCAGACAGGCTTATAATTCCATTTGAATGCTTGCAGAGAAACATCTATCTCCATTCTCAGACTTAAATTTGTATGTGAAAACAAAGACAAAACTACTTATTTGTAAAATAAACTTCAATGTGAACTCAAGAATTTGTCTAAGCTGCTAACAGGTTTTCAAAACAGCCTATCCGCCATAATATACACCTAGGACAATACAGACCCAAGATAACCATTGAGCCTAATTTTTTAAATCTGCAGTTGCCAAGCTAAGAAACCAAGGACTACTAATGCATATTTAAGATATGAATCAACACACAAAAAGTGTGACACACCCACCCACATTCTCCCTCTGTAACTTTAATCAACAGCAGGGGTATACAGTACAATGAATGTTTAGGCACTTAAAACAATCACCATGTACTGTAAGTTTTTCTTATAAAACCTTTACATGGTACTTCTGAGGCATTTGCTGGCAAAAATAAATGAATAAATCCTGTTTGGTGACATTACCAGTGACCATGTGTTTGCACAGAAACAAAATCAGGGCTGGGCGCGGTGGCTCACGCCTGTAATCCTGGCACTCTGGGAGGCCAAGGAGGCCGGAGGATCGCTCAAGGTCAGGAGTTCGAGACCAGTCTGAGCAAGAACGAGACCTCGTCTCTACTAAAAATAGAAAGAAATTAGCTGGACAACTAAAAATATATATATATAGAAAAAATTAGTCGGGCATGGTGGCGCATGCCTGTAGTCCCAGCTACTCGGGAGGCTGAGGCAGGAGGATGGCTTGAGCCCAGGAGTTTGAGGTTGCTGTGAGCTGGGCTGACGCCATGGCACTCTAGCCAGGGCAACAGAGCCAGACTCTGTCTCAAAAAAAAAAAAAAAGAAACAAAATCAGAATCAAATATCTAAAGCTGAAAGAAATCTTACAGCAATCAAATACCTTTGGAATTTAGAAGTGATGAAACTGAGGCTAAGAGAAGTCAACCGATCATAATAGCTAACTAGAGAAGTCAAGAAATTCTGCATTAAATTCAAATAAAAAAAGAACGTTATCATCCACCGCCCTCTAATACTACATAGCAATGCTGAAAATAGCAAGTCGAATTAGATTTTCTCCATTTCTACGTACACGTATATGTACATACACCACACAACATATGTATTTCAAAACTTAAAACTACTATAGTCCCAGCTCCTTGGGAGGGTTAGGGAGGAGGATCACTTGAGCCCAGGAGTTCGAGGCCAGCCTGGGCAACATAGTGAGACCGCTGTCTCTTTTAAAAAAAAAAAACAAAAAAGCAAAAAAACTTTAACTAGAAAATGTTCAAGAGCCGATGGTGGCAGTTATCAAAAGCATAGGATGCCTGCTCTACATTCAGAAAAAACAGCCTAACTTAAATTTTGACTGATGTCCAGAAAGCCTTCTCTCAGCCACTTTCAATCTGTGCTCAAAATGCACTTCAACCTGCAGCAACAGTCAACTCATCAACTAATAAATAAGCCATGTTTTATACAGAAACAGGATTCCAAGAAATAAACTGGTTCATCAGCACTCACGATACTCGCAGGCCAAAGCCTCTTTTTTTTTTTTTTTTTTAAAGCTAATGAAATGTATACCTTCATCTTGAAAAATCAATGAACCAGTCAAATACCCTTAAAAGTTAAACACTGAACCAGTCCTCAATGGAGAGTTGCTTAGGAAAAGCTGAAAAAGAACCAAACTCATCCAGCAGAGAGAAATTTAAAAATCAAAGTAAAATTTTCCCCCAAAATCTCATCTATCATTAGCAATAGGCTTTCAGCTGTGAACTGATAAGCAACCAAAAACAAATTTCTCACAAGTTTCCTTTAAGTGGCCGGTAGATACACATCTATGTATATATTTAAGTTGTACCAAAAACTGCTTACAAATGGCAATTCCTGTGAAGTAGATGATGATGAAGTTCCAGGTAATTCTAGCATGTTTCCTAATGTACTGGTACTGGAGTCTGGATCATCCTGAAAAGATAAATTTATTGAGTTTAATTGCTCTTCTATGGTAATGTTTGTATCTCCTAGTGAAAAAGGGGTTGGGAGAAGGGCTGCTTTTTCATTGCTGCCGTCCACTTCATTTCTTTGCTTATTTTTCTGTGTTTCATTTTGAGAAGCTAATGGCAAGAATGGCGATTTGACTGCACCGTGTCTACTCTCTGGTGTGCTGTCTTGTTCACTTCCCATGGCCATTTTTACATCATTCTCTGATTTAGGCTCATAATTGCAGGTGGCATTGGTCTGAGTTTCCTCATAGATCTCCTCTATACTCTCATCCTCTGTGACTGGCTGTTCTGGGTCCATTTCAGAATCTACATCTGTATCGTCCACACAAGTAAAATTCTCAAAGTGCAGAAAGCCATTCTTGACGGTCTTTGTTATTTTTACCTGGAGTTCAGGGGAGTTATTACAAGAGGGTTCCTGTTTCATAGCAAGTGCTGTAGGACCACCAGGACTCAAGGAAGTGCAAACAATTGGCGACTGAGCTCTTGAATCACTTTTTTCAGGGTCTTGAAAGGATTCTGATCCATCAGCAGACCCATTTAAATACTCTACATTGATCATGGAGGCCAAATCCTGTAGTCTCCGCAGTGGAATGTAACAAGATGGAGAATCTTGTCCATAAGCATTTTGGGATGTTCCACTGGCAGTCGATAACTGCATAGTACACCCATTAAGTGGCTCAGAAAAATTGGATTGACCATTACCGAAAGGGCTGTCCTTGTCTTCAGGCGCATCTAAATTCACTGGATTGGAAAAGGGCCGCAGACAATTTCTTCTAGGTAGTTCACAAGTCTGATCCATCCTGGGCCGGCATCAACCTAGAATCCAAAAACACAGCAATTAATCTAATAGGCCATCTGACTCTTCTCTTCAAAATGGCAGCCACTTCTCAAGGCCTAGTGGCCTCCGTGCCTTTCTGCTGCACTTCCATGGGCGGAAAAAGTTTCCCCCGACTGAAGATGTAAAAATGGCCTCGGTGAGCCTCCACAGACACCATCTTCCCGAAGCTGGGCAGATCCCGCCACATGGAAACAGCCCATCCCTTTTTCTTCCACTGCAGATTGGTGGACACTTGGGCTGAACTAAAATTAAAATCCCTCTGGCAGTCAAAATTCTCAAATCTCAACCAGGAATCGTCCTTCCCCTCCCCTGCCAGGGGTCCAGTGGCAGGATCTCTGGAAGGGAGGGGGCTGCGGGGTCCGAGGGGGCCTCCCGGAGGCTGCACAAAAAGGTACCCCTCCTCCTTCCTGGCTCGCTCGCTCGGGCGCAGCGGTCACAATAGCGCTGCACCCTGCGCCCAGGCAGCGCCGGAGCCTTTGCAGGGGCCGTGCCCAGGCCGCAGGCGAGTTGGCCGAGGCGGATGCAACCCGGAGCTCGCCTTCCTGAATGCAGGCCTGCTAGGTCCGCAGCTACAGGGCCCAGAGGCCGGGACGCAGCGGGGCAAGAAACAGAGGTGGCGGGCGAAGCCGAGTCAGGGCAGCAGCAGCTGCTTCAGCTTGACAAACATGGCTGCTGCCGACGCCGCCGCCGCCGCCTGCCCGGGCCGCGCTCCTTCCCGTAGACGCGGCCGCACCTCCCGGCCGAGCCGATCTCACTCATCAATATTCAACGGCAAGCAAAGTTTGCTGCGGGAGGGCAGCCGGCCCGGTGCTCTCCAGCCGGCTACCTGAGGGGAGGCGGAGGCCGAGGTGCTCGCGGGCGCCCGGCGGGGCACGGGCCGCGCCGGGAGGAAGTTCGCGGCAGCCCGGCCAGCTAGGCCTGAGCCCGGCTGGTAGTGATGGAGGAGGGGGAGGGGGCCACGGCTGCAGCGCCGCTGGCCACCAACCCCGCGCCGCGCCTGGCCCACCCCCGAGCCCCTCACCTCACGGCCACCACCATCTTCCCCGCCCGGCCGCCTCCGCCCTCCTCCTCGCGCCTGCCCGCCGCCCACCCCAGCGCACTAGTTACCGTGCCCCGCGCCCCCTCCCGGGCCAGCTGGGGGGAGGGGGTGACCCTCATTACACTGGGGCGCGAGCGGAGCGGTGGGGAGAGAGAGGAGCCGCTCGCCGCACCCCCCTCCCCCCGCGTCTCTCTTCAAGGGAGAAGGCAGCAAGCGCGACCTGCCCCGGCCTATTCCTCCTCCGCCGCCGCCTCCTCCTCCTCCTCACACCCCCACCGCGCGCGCCCCCGCGGCGGCGCGTGCGACCGAGCGCCTCGCGTCGGCCCGCGTGCGGCTGGGGCCCAGAGTGCGCGCGCACGGTGGGGGAAGGGGTGCGCGCGCGCTCCCTCGCCTCACTCTTCGGGGTTCAGGGCGGGTGAAGTCGGGCTCACGAACGCACTGCCCAATCAGCGGAGCTGCCGCTGCCGCCCCCTCTCTTCCCTCCCCCTGCGGCCGCTCGCGGTCCGGGCCTACGGGCCGGCCTGGCTGCCCGGGCGGGGCCTGAGGCGGGCTCCGCAGGGGCCTCGCGCGCCTCCTAGGAGTGTCGGGGCCTGCGGGCGTCGTGGGTGGCATTCCGATCCCCTCACCTACCTCGGGGCACTGCGCAGGCCCCGGGCTGCACACGGCTCCAGCACCCTACCCGTCTCGAACCCCAACCCAGGCGGCACCTGGCCCGGCTGAGGCCTGTCCGACCGCCCCGCCAGCCCCGCCAGCCCCGCTCCGGCCCGCGTCAGTCCCGGCCTCCATCTTAGGTTACAGCCCAGGCTCCCCATCCACTGGGCACCTGCCCTCAGCCGGCTTGGCTCGGCCCGAGGCCAAGTCAACCCCCCTCCTGCCACAGGGCTCACCTGGGGGCTTGGGCTGGGGTCTTCGAGGCCTCAGGCCCCGAGCAGGCGCGGCCGCAGGTGAACCCCCTACCCGGCCGCACCCCAAACCCACAGCACCACCACCACAGACCAAGCTGAGCAGGAAACAAAATGGAGGCAGCAGCTCGGGTCTGCCTCCCCGAGCCAAGCCTGTGCAGCCCCAGGGCTCCCTCCTGCCGCAGGCTCGACGCCCGCGAGGCAGGGGGCTGACTGGTCCGGGGCGCCGCAGGCAGCCGCCCTACTGCAGCGCAGACGGGCTGGGAAGTCGGCCTTGCGCTCCCCACAGCCCCTCACCCACCACCCCTTCCCTTCCTCCTCCCCCCTATTCCTCTCCCTCCCCCTTGTCCGGCCGTGCGGGGTGAGCGGCTCCGGGGAGCCGGGTCGGGTTACCCGCCCGGGCACTGCCCGCTCGGCCGTGGCCTCAAGGGGGAATGAAGCCGGGCGACCCCAGCGCTGAGCCCACCCCCCGCACCCGAGCCGGGCTGCAGCCTGACAGCGCGCCCGCACCTTGGCCTGCCGCCGTGCAGCCCCCGCCCAGTGAGGCCGAATCTCCAGCCTTGCACCGCCGAGACGAAGCTCCCGCACCACCCCCGAGCCCAAGGGTCCTCGCTGCCTCGGGCGGGGCGAGGGGAGCCCTGGGGGAGGGGTCCACTAATCCCTGCACCTCCTCCCGCGCCTAGGCTGGGTCTGGGCCTGGCAAGGGGGCTCGGGCAGCGGGCGCTGGCGGGCGTGGGTAGGTGCGTGCGCGCCGGGCAGGGGGCCGGGACGGGCCGCGCCTCGCACCGCAGACGCTGCAGTTCTCGGCACCCAGGCAGATGGCCCTCTCGTGCCACCGCCGCCCAGCGCAGGCCGCGGGCTCCGCAGCCCGGCTCCCCAGGGAGTGCGCGCCTTGCCCCTGCGGGCCGGGCTTCGGGACCCCAGCGGAACTGCGCCGGGAGAGGGGACCGCCGGTCGGGCTTGACCAAGCCTTCTGACCCAACCCCCAGTCAGGGGCGCCCTTCTTTCGGGCGGCCGGGACCTCACGGCCTGCACCCAGCACCAGGGCCCCGCAGCACCGACCTAGCGCTGTCGCGGCGCGTCCACTACGCAAAGACAGCGGAAGGGCAGATCGCGGAACCCAAGCTGGGCCCGATCCTGTGACTCCAGCCCCCCTGCCCCTTCTCCCAGTCTGGACCCCCGTCTCCCCCTGGACCTTGATACCTAGCAAGAAGCTCACCTCAGGAGCTACTTGTTCCCTAGGGGGGTAAGCGCATCCTCGCTGTTCAGAGAAAGCCACAATCAACCGCCATAAAAATTCCACCTCCTCCAGAAAGCCTTCTGTGATTAGATTTGGAGTTAACTCCATCTCGAAGCTGAGAGCACCGCCCTCGAAGGCCACGTGACCACTAGGGCTTAGTAAATGTGCATAGTTATTGCCCCGGTGGAGTGTTTACTAGCAGCTCTGTGTTAACCGTGAGCCCACCTGGGAGAAACGCCACTTTTGACGTTTCGCTGTGCAGTGTAAGTGCCGGGCTAGCTAAACCCCACCCTTCCCCCACCCAGTAACCCGCCCCGGCAGGTATGGAGCTCAAGATGCGCCCATTCTTTCCTCTCCGAGGCCCACAGTCAAATGATGGAGACTCCCAGCTAAACAGACCCTTAGCACACCCCGCACAAGTGCTGGATGCAGGCCTTTCGGAGACAGCAAGTGGGCTCCGTTAAAGGAAAAGCGCTTGCTGGAACCAGAGTGATGCGAGGGCTGTGATCCCAGGGGGACTCTTTCTTAAGATAGCCTTAAGATTCCCAGGTGCAAAGTCAGGTTGGCAATTTTTTATGTGCTAGGGTCAGCCAGAGAAGAGTCTGATCTGTACCCCAGGGTCCTGCCCTTTTGTTCTGCTAAGAAGTCACCCCTAGTATCCCCAGCTGGGCAATTCAACAGGGAAGCTCTGACTGGTTCCTTCTTCACACCTAATCATTTGACCCAATCATTTCTGACTGAGAGTTACTCCTCTGCCAATTGCCCCAATTCATCAAGGTTCCTCCCAGTCCTTTACTTTCATACGAACCATCCTGAAAGCCTGGAAGCTGCCACTGGGTGGCCTTGAACAAGTCACTTAGCCCCAAGCCTCGGTTTCCTCACCTGTGGCTTCCGATGCACGGGGCAATTGTGAGGATCCTGTAAGGTAAAGGGAAGCGTTAGCAGCCCCCACTTACATTTAGTTACAGACTAAGCACTTGGATGCTGAAATATAGTTCATTGCTTCATTCGGCAACCACTTCCTGCATTCCAGGCAGTGTGCTGGATGCTAAGGAAACAAAGGATGAGATGCTGGCCTCAGGAAAAGACAGCTAAATAAATGTGCTAAGGTGTGAGATAGTTCCTTCCAAGGCTGACTTCTGACCATCACGCCCTTGCAGAACACCTCTCTCCAACCTCCCAGCTCCCCTGGAAGAAGAGTGAGGGCCGAAGGGGGACTGGTAGCTAGAGATGATCTGGTTGCCTCCAGGTCTGGGGGAAAAGACTTGAACCCTAGGGTAAACCTCTCAGACCTCCCTGGAATGACCCCTCAGGGCCCTCCCTGCCTTTTAGAGTAGATCTTGGCTATAAGAGGCCTCAAGCACAACAGCCCCCTCTGTAGCCCCCCATCCAGCAGGCCCTGGCTGAGCTAGTGGGTGCCATCACTAAATTGAGGATATTCACAGGGCCGTATGTTCTCACAAGGACACTGATTCCTGAAGCAGGGGAAGAAGGGATAGGGCTGTGTCCCTGTAGGGTGGGGCCGTGGGATGCACACCTAGTTCTTCTCTAGGTGAGTGTCTCAGCTCAGGGACCTTTTCTGGGCCTGTGTCTTCCATCCTTAAGACGGAGAGAAGAATCAATAATTACTTGCTGAGTTTGTGCCATGTATTGGACACCAGGCGAGGCATTTGACACATAGTTCCTTTAACCCTTCACCAGCCCTGTGAAAAATTGAAGTCCAAGAGAGTAAGCCCTTATACAAGGTCTTGGAGCCTCAGCTCTCACCTGGTGTGATTGGCCTCACATCCCTTTACTCTTAGCTTGCACACCCTGCACATACTGTCTGTGGAAAACCCAGCATGCTGGCTCACACACACACAGGCGTTCAGAAATTTGAATGTTGGGCAAAGTGAGAGTACCTTAGCCTGAGCTTCCTTATTTATAGATGATAGTTACTGATAATTCCCACCCTGCTGGAACAGACACCTGTTAGGACATTTGGCCAGTGTACAGTGACCTCTTTTTTCTTAGAACTGCCCCCTATTCATCCATTAATTCAATAGACATTTAGTGGACACCACCTCACAGCCTTGGGGAAAGCAGACAGACAACAGGAAAGCGGAGAGCTGAGTGCTGAGAGCAGCGGGGGTGTGGTGGGAAGGGCTGGATGTCCCATGGAGAAGACCCGGGGGCAGCCCCTGAGGAAGTAACATCCAGAGGGAGGCCTGAAGGATATGCAGGAATGGCCAGGAAAGGAGGGGAAGAGGCAGAGATTCCTGCAGAAGAGCCAGAGCAACCCCAGGCTTGGGAGGAACTGACCACAAGTGGGAGGCGCCATAGGCTGGTGCAGGTGCCAGGGGAGGTGGCGAGAGCAGTAACAGGCTCAAGTGAGAATGGGCATGACCACAGGGCCCTGGCCGTGCAGCACTGTATTGGTCAAGTTAAAGAACTGAGACTTTATCTGGAAGACAGTAGGGAGCCATGGAAAGTTAAGGAGAAGGATAATGACATGATTGCATCTGACCCATAAAAAACTCACTCTCTTGGCCGGGCACGGTGGCTCCCACCTGTAATCCTAGCTCTCTGGGAGGCCGAGGCGGGAGAATTGTTTGGCTCAGGAGTTCGAGACCAGCCTGAGCAAGAGCGAGACCCCGTCTCTACTAAAAATAGAAAGAAATTAATCAGACAGCTAAAAATATATGGAAAAAACTAGCCGGGCATGGTGGCGCATGCCTGTAGTCCGAGCTACTTGGGAGGCTGAGGCAGGAGGATCGCTTGAGCCCAGGAGTTTGAGGTTGCTGTGAGCTAGGCTGACGCCACAGCACTCTAGCCCGGGCAACACAGTGAGACTCTGTCTCAAAAAAAAAAACAAACTCACTCTTCCATCAGTGTCCGGGAGAGAGTGGTTCCTCCTCTGGAAACACAACCCCAGTAAGGGTCCTGCCTCTAGGGTGTGCTGGGATTGTCTTGTTCCAGTAACAGTTGTGGCTTATCCCCCTCTGTGCCAGCTACTCTCCAGGACATGCTCTCATTTAATCCCATGAGATGGGCACTATTGTTATCCCCGTCTTCTAGAAATGAAGCAAAACTTGCCCA